AGCCAACCACACGTTTCCGTAAATAAAGTTTTATTGAAACACAGCCATGTCCATTCATTTATGGATCGTTATTGCCTGCTTTTGTACAGCACAGCAGGATTGAGTGCTTGTGACAGACCATATGGACTAAAAGCCTAGAGCAGTTACTATCCGGGCAGGATGAGATTAAGATCATAACATTCTTTAACGTGGCAAAGTTTGCAACTGTTTGACTGTTAGCTTTCAAACCATATTTTTTCTTTTTTTAAATTTAATTTAATCTCATCCCACTCCCCACTCCCCTGGAGCCCCCTCCCCTCCCTATGTGCAAAAACTATTTTTATCATTTTTTCCATCTATTTTCACTTTTATTTTCTTGTCCCTTCCTTCCTTTCTCCCTCCTTTCTCCCTTGTTCCCCTTCCCATTTGACACTTTCTTCCCATTTCCCAATATCTATTATACCAAATCATATTTTTTCTGCAGCCTATAAATAATATTTCCTACAATTTTTCTCCTGAAATATTGTTGAAAGTATCTCCCTATCACAGACATTGTGTTTTACTGTATTCTAATACAAGCTAAGGAGACATGATGTCATGTTACTTTTCTCTCCTTGCTGAGACAACACATCCAACACCCAAAGTTAAGAAGGGAAATTTTTATTTAGCTTACAGTTCGTAGAGGTTTCAGTCCATAATTGGCTGGCTCCAAGGCAGGGTAGCATGGCAGACAGGCCTTGCAGAGGAGAAATAGTTCATGGCAGCCAGACAGTAACAAAAGCAACAAGGGACTTTAACAGCATCCCCCTGCCCCTTTTCTCTTATTCAGACTACTTAAGGCATGTAGCACTCACCCTTAATCCTAGTGCCCTTAGGCCTAGCATTGCACCATGAATCAGTCACACGCTATAGATTCAGCCACCTCCAAAATGACCCCATGAGGCTTTGGGGGGACATCTAGACACAGACCAGAACATCTGATATGAGAGAAAAGATAAGACATCAGCAGGCCAAGGACTTGTCCTGGCTGCTCTACCTGTTTGGCCCTTGGCACAGTACTTCTGCTTTCTCCTCTATTATGAGCTCTCTGTCACTGAGATAGTCAACTTATTAAAAGGGAAGGTTTATTTTGGCTTAGTTTAGGATGTTTCTGTCCATGGTCCATTGACTTCATTGCTTTGGGGCCTTTGGCAAGATTGTACATCATGGCAGGAGCACTTGGTAGAAACTGCTCACATCATAGCAGCCAGGAATCAAAGAAAGAGAGAAAGGGGCTGAGGTTCCAATATCCCATCAAGGGCGTGACCCTAGAGACCTGTCTTCCTTCTGCTTGGCCTTACTTCCTAAAGGTTCCCCTTCCCAATAGCACCACACACAGGCTCTTGGAGGTCTTACACAAACCATAGCTTCATCTTTAAAATGGAGGAGGTGGCCAGGCATGGTGGCACATGCCTGGAATCTTAGCACTAAGGGGTCTGAGACAGGAAGCCTACGAGTCAGAGGCTAACGTGGGCTACATAGTGAGACCCTGTCGCAAATAAATAGCAATAAAAAAATGAAAGAGTTAAATGGTGTCGATAGCTAAGGTCTCTCCTGCCTTCAAGAATTTCATGAAATAAGTCAGGCTTTAAAAACACAAAAATGAATAAGTATTATCAAAATATATTTCTTAACTCAGGAAATTTTTTTACTGCAGGTCCAAAGAAAATGATATGTGGTTCCCAAAGAAACAAGCTAAAATAAGTATTCCTGCTGTTTATTTTTGTTACCCTGAATTTTTTACAAATATCTATTTATAATTATATGTGCCAATTCAAATATTCATTTATTTTTTGAGAAAACATTTATGAAACATCTACTGTGTCCTCAGGCCCATGTGAGATACCACTACTTAATGTCAGAGACCTCAAAAGTCTAGTCGTGAAAAGAGAAAGAAGCACTTCTACTTCTCATTCTGTAATCATAAACTTCAGGCAGCCAGTACCCTCTTGGCCGTAGGCTGCTCCAGGTAACCTCCCACTTAGTGTGGCAGGCATCTCAGTGTTGGTGCTATCCTGGGTTGCAAATGCATGGCTTTGACATTGTTGGTGTATTCTGCAGCTGACCTCAGCAGCACCCTCTTGGCTCCTGTCCCCATGTGTTACCCTACAGCTCCCTGGCAGGGTCCAATCAAGATGGCTCCAGCCAGGCTACCTTCCGAGGCATCTCCTTGACTCATGGGAAACACACACCTTCTTGGCCCAACATACACTAAAAGTATAGCCTGTCCCAGGTGACCTCCAGCTACAAAAATGACAGGGACTGGTCTCTTCACTTTACCACATGTTGGCCAACCTATAGACTCTTACACACAAAGACCCTTCTTCGTGTACCAAGGTGGGCCTGTAGGTTGCCGCAACTCAGCATCCCCTCCAGAAAATGGGGCAGTGAGCTTTTCTTGCTGATATCTTCTTCATCTTACACAAGGGAGCATACAATTCTCTCTCTTTCTCTAGAAGAAGGAGAAAGGAAAATCAAATACTGGCTCTCTTCAGTCTTGGAATTTCTACAAAGTCCAGGTTTCTGTCTCTATAAGTAGAATGAGGCCTTAGGGTGAGTGTAGAAGGCCCAGTTTGATCACCTTTCAGCAAACCCTGGAGGTGTGCCTGGCAACTTCACAGTAGACTTAGTGCTACTTAATTCCTGTAGGCCTTAGCTTTGAGCTAAAAGTCTAAGACAAAAGATAAGATCTCAAAGTTACATCATTATGTAGACATATTCTTTATACAGGTGGGATGGAGAAGAGGAGTAAAGGATAATAAAGATAAGCTGAAACCTGACTTTGTTCTCCTAACCCTACCACCTCTCGCTTGCCTCCCCCCACCCCACACACACACACACACACACACACACACACACACACACACCTTGACACAACTCTATCTGGATTTGATCTTTCAAGAAGGAATGAAGGGAGGGAGGGAGAGAAAGAGGAAAAAAGAACACTAGTAAAAGACCTAGGGGCATAGTAACATCAGGTCAAAAATCAGAAGTCTCCGATTTGGGCAGTTGTAAAATGTTTGTGGCTTTTTGAGTAAAAACATGTGTATTTATTAAATATATAAATGGAAACTAATCCTTATTATAATTACAAATGTCAGAAGCAGTATTACTAATAGTCCTTTGTAAAGAAAAAGGTAAAGCTCATAATTTTTGATAGAATTAGACATTCTAAAGTAACAATGCCATCAACTAATAAAGCCTGTAAACAGGTTTAAAACAGATCAGAAATTCTTAAAAACCTTTTTGTTATTCATTTAGATTTTTAAACTTTGTTCATTAATATTATGACATGTCAGAGCTAGCTAAATGTTTTTTAAGTGATATGGTTTTTATTGTATTAAAACACAACATAAGATCTCTTAACAAATTGTTTTGTTTTTGCAGTGCTGGGGATGGAACCCAGGGCCTTGGGCATGCCAGGCTAAGTGCCCCAGGCCCCTTCTTAAAAAATTGTCAGGGTATTTTAAATGTGTTCTTTTTTAAACTTATGTTTCCTTCGTTTTTATTTTGTTTTGATTTGTTTTATTTTTTGAGATAAGATCCCACTATGTAATTCAGTCTGGCCTTGAACTCACTATATATCCCAGACTGGCCTCAAATTCAGTGATCCTCCTGCTCTAGCCTCTCAAGTGTTGGGATTACAGGAGTACACTACTACACCTGGCTCTTCTTAGTTTTTTGTTGAGTTGCTTTGGTTTGGTTTGGTTTTGGTTTTTAGGGATATTTTGTCATTTGATTTGGGTATTTGTTTTTGGTTTTTTTCCTATTTTTATTATATATCAACAGCATTTTGTAGGCTTAAACTAGCCTAGTTTCCCAGATGAGAAACTAATCACTTTCATTTCTCTTCCTCCTCCTCCGCCTCCTCCTCCTCCTTCTTTTTTGGCACCGGGGATGGAACTCAGGACTTTGTGCTTGCCAGACAGGCATGGCACTACTGAGCTAAATCCCCACCCTTAAAGATTCTTTCTTAATTGATGGCATCATTTAAAATTTATCCCGGTCTACCTTCACATTGCTCTTGTTAGATATTTTATGTATGGAGTGGACCAAATATTTACAAGTCATAAAGATTTATCTTACATCAGTATAAACAAATCTAACTATAATCTGAGGAATGTTTACAGTTAGTATTTGACCTCTCAAATAGCATTAGTGTATAGAGAGAGAAAAGAACAAAATCAACCAAAAAAAAAAAAAAAACCTCCACCTATTTTGGAGAAGTTAGGAAATTGAAGCTTTCATCCTAGCCAGGGTTAATTTTAACTTTTTACTTTTCAAAGCATACTGTTGCCTATGAAACATTTTATTTGAGATACAAACTAATATTTTAATTGTATTTCTATACTACAGAGATTTGTCTTGAATAAGTTAAACTTTGGGTCCTTTTAGGTTTTTAGGATTCTTTAAATATATTTAATTTCTTTTCAGGGTCTTCTTGCCTTCTTGAAGTTGCAAAATCAAAAGGAAAAAAATTTATGTACTTGACTTCCTAGTGAAGGAGCCCAGCACTGATTCTGTTAATGAACAGTACTAGTAAAACAAGCATAAACCTTTTGTGAGAACATTCCTTTCTAGAAGAAGTTGGGTTTGCCCTTTCCCAAGATTTAGGTTTCTGTGAAAATTCTTTTAGACATGTCTTGGCCAGAAAGCATTCTTTCATTTTATTCTGTATTCATATTATTGAATGTTGCCTCTGTCAGAGAGAGAACACATTGGGATTGCTGAAATATTGACGAATTTAAAATGCCAAGGGAATTGCAACACTGACAGAATTTTGGTCCATTTATTGAAAGATGTTCACGTTCTGACAAGTTTCACTGAATGATTAAGAGATTATTAACAAAAGGATTCCACCAAAATCATCAGCCTGCCTTTGGAAGAGAGAAAATATTCTTCACTGAAAATAATACATGTGAAGCTGTGAATTACAGCCAGGAATTATGACTATTGATTGGATTTTCTTCTTTGCTTTTTAGCTGTATGACAAAATTAACACAAAGTCTTCACCACAAATCAGGAATCCTCCGAGTGATGCCGTTCAGAGAGCCAAAGAGGTAAGCGATACATTTTTCTTAGAGTTTGGTAATATCATATTTATTATCTTTATTGAAGATATTTTTGCTGCATGTTAAGAGGCAGTTTCCCAGAAGTCACAGTTTGACTTATTATACTCAGATTTTGTGCTTTGGATTTTACCACTGTATATACATACAAGAAAGAAAAAAATCTCAGCTAAATATGCCTAGATTTCTGGTTGTGCCTCTGCTATGTAAACATTAACATACCAATTTAATTTCTTTCTTTTTAAGGTAATTTATTTTGCTGCATTTGGTAGAAATAGATATGCTATGAAAATTTGAATTGTTTTTTTCAAAGTGGTATTGTTCAAAAGTTAGTTGGATTTCTTGTGTTTTCCTTTTTTTGCGGGGGGGTACTAGGGATCAAACTTAGAACCTTGCGCTTGCAAGGCAGGTGGCAGCACCACTGAGCTAAATCCCCAACCCATGTTGTTATTTTAAGTTGGATTTCTATAGCAATTAAGTGTAATGAGTTCAACGAAGTCGTTTTTATATATTGGCAATACAAATGGCTATATCTGTCACAAACTTTTTCTGAAAACATATTATAGAAACATGACATCACAGAATATTTAGAAAATAAAAATTATCCATAATCCTATCACCCCCAATACAGTAGCTTTCATTTTTACATATCTTTTTCTGGTCACTAGTCATTTGCATATAAATTTTACATAGTAGCAACTAAAATGTATCTTTTTATAACCTCATGTTATATAATAAGCATTTTCTATGTTTCTACTTGGTCCGCATAAATATAATTTCTAAAAAACTGTATGATTTTTCTTTGCAATTATAACATTAGAATGAATTAGCAATTCTGCCATTAAGACCCTACTTTTTGTCACTTTTTGATGTCTTTATGCAAATAAGAATTTCCCTTTTGCAAACTTATCTCCTATAAAGTGAGATTATTAAGTGACAGAGTATGAAAGACATAATCTCTTCTCTATCAGATTTTAAGCCCAAGACTTGTACTAAAAAATACTATATAATTCACTGAGGAACTAGACTGATGCTACGGTGGCTGCCAGGCTATGCACTTGATCAGGATTAGCTACAGGACGATCTGTTTTACACGCCCACCAAACACTCATTGAAAGGAATTTGGTGTCATGGGCAGAAATCACAAATCACTACCTGATTGTCATGATAGAAGAAGCATGGAAGAAGCAGAAACACTCTGGGAACAAATCTTTGGCTTCACTGGACAGTGAGAACCTGCTGAAGGTCTCCACCTAGCCGTGCTTAGGTCACCACATCTCTGTAACAGTAGCAACAGCCACAGAGTCTGTGTTTTCATCCTTTCATTTCCCCAGTGCAGAAATAGATGCCTGAAATACACCAGGGAGAGTTAGTTCATCATCATTAAACAGTATGAATTCACAGCATAGCCAGCACTCATCAACAGCCATTTGGACAAGAAAGAAACTCTGTAGAATGTGTGTGTGTGTGTGTGTGTGTGTGTGTGTGTGTGTGTGCGTGTGTGCCATGCACATGAGTCTGTTCTTCCCCGAGGCCATGGTTGAATAGAACATTAGAAGTATGAAGCTGAAATCTAAGGCTCAGGCTAGGTGACCCCACGACATTCCTTCCTCAGGTTATTGCAGGTTGAGGTAAGAGAGTCCTACTGGGTGGAGACCTTCATGTTCTTGACGTGCAACAGTGCGGAAACATTTTTTTTTCTCATTGAGTTTATTAGTACATTTTAGGTATACAGTGCAGTTACATTCATTATTGGGATCTTGTACCTTTACATGACAGGTCTTGGTTCTCTTTTTTCCCCTTGTCCCTGCCCTCCCTTCACCCCCTCCTCCCCTCCCCATCTACAAACACTTTATTTCCATCTTTTCATTATGTCACATTTTTTTCTTTTCCCTTATTACCCTTCCCCTACCCTTCCCACTTTCCCTACACCTTTAGCCCCTTTCTTCCTATTTCACATTGTCAATTATCTCATTAGGATCTTATATACTATTATAGTTTATTCACACCAGAGAAACTATTCGGTATTTACACATGTGTGACTTATTTATTTCCCTTAGGAGTATATCCTCAATATGTATCCATTTTCCTCTGAATGAATCTAATTTCTCATTCTTTATGGCTGAGTAGTATTCCATTTTATAGGAAAACCACATCTTTATCCAGTTTCCAACTGATGAGCAAATGGGCTGCGGAAACAGTCTTTGACTGGCACCATAGTTGGATGTCAGTTGAGTACAATGTATAAATCCTCGATGTTACTGCAGCCATTTATGGTTAGAACTGTAGGAGGTGTTTGCTTAGAAATGAAGAACAGAGGCTGTGCCTTGGGTTCGTGTCCCCAAATCCAGTTAAATAAGTAAATTCCATCCTGGGGGGAAGGGAGAACCTTTGAAGAAAATTTTTAATTAAAAACACCATTTTTACCAGTGAGAAAATATTAACAATTAACTAGTGAATAAAATTTGAATGGAAGGAGAAAAGAGTGTTTTTTACCTTATTCTTGGGCTCCTTAGTGTTTAATTCTAGGAGGCTTTGGTGGAAGTGTGGTTTTCTGTATGCAGGGAGATGAACATGAAGATAACATTAATCCTACCATGCTGCAAGAAAAATTAGTTAAATGTATTTTTTAATCTTACTGATTTTATTGGTACTTTTTAAGTATACAGTACAGTTACATTCATCATTGGGATTTTGTACCCGTACATGACAGATCTTGGTTCTCATTTTTCCCCATACCCCTGTAAATGTATTCTTAATTAACTGACTATTTTAATAAGTATTCCTCTTTAAATTATTTTTTAATTTTTTCTTCTTATTGAGTTTATTGGTACATTTTAGGTATACAGTACAGTTACATTCATTACTGGGATCCTGTACCTTTACATGACAGGTCTTGTCTCATTTTTTTTCCATTTTTCCATTTTCTCATATTTTTTTCTTTTCCCTTATTCCCTTTCCCCTACCCTTCCCACTTTTCCTACATCTTTAGCCCTTTTCTTCCTATTTCACGTTGTTAATTATCCCATTAGGATCTTGTGTACTATTATAGTTTTTCACACCAGAGAAACTATTCGGTATTCTTTGAATTATTTTTATTTGAGCCTGTGTCATCTTTCTAAAAGGAATGGCAATTATGTTAATATAAAAGAAAGCTATTATTGACTTTTAGTGCAAACTAATTTTGGTGGTGAATTTGAAAGGTATTTTCCCATTAACTAAGTTACTTAAACTTGTAATAAATGTGTGTTACAGGCTTGTCATTTTGTTTTGTAATTTTCAGTTACCTTTGAGTTACAGTTGGGTAATGTGGGCAAACTATTACAACAATTTGTTTCATTTTTCTTACCATCAATATTCTCTTATGTGTTAATAAACCTTGAAAAATGAGGAATCCGTTAAATAATTGTTTTGATTGCCATAAAACTTCAATCATAATTTTCAATCTAAAAGAATTCCATTCTGTATAAATTTTGCATTATGTTTGCACTATTATATTTTACTTGTTTTTTAGGTATTGGAAGAAATTTCATGTTACCCTGAGAATAATGATGCAAAGGAACTAAAACGTATTTTAACACAACCTCATTTCATGGTAAGTAACAAATTTCCATAGAGCTAAAACCTCACTTTCAAAAGAAGTTTTTAATAACCCTCATATAATATCACCAGTTCATCAAATGCATTTTGGCCATGTACAGCTATATGTCACTTCATGCTGGGGATACATTCTGAGTAATGTGTCATTAGCCAATGCCATCACTTTGAGAAAACCATAGACTATCCTTACCAAACAAAGACTACTGCACACCTACACAATCTGGTATATACTATATGGTATACTTCTAGGCTCCTAGCAAAACAACCCAAGATTAAATCAAGCACAAGTGAAAATTATGCAGTTAAGAGGCACCGTTAACATGGTGTGTATAAAGATGCTGCCAGGTGACATGGTATACATATTTTTACCATATTTTAGAAGAAGATAAAATACACTCTAAAATAATGATGCAAAGTGTCGTATAATGAATTGAATGCATAAACAACATGCTGTAGTTATGTGTTACCAAGTGTTACACACTATGCATAACTATATTACTATGCTTTTATCTGACTGCCAGCACAGTAGGTTTATTAACCCCTGCATCGGCACAAACATGTAAGTACTGCATGCATCATGAAGTCATAAGGGCATAGGAATGTTCAACCCCATTATAACCTGATGGAATCACCGTTGTCAGTGAGGTTCATTGTTGACCAAGATGTCATGCTGGGGTGCCTGACTGTAATATCCAGCTGTTAAGATTATAATACTAGGTAATACCAGATACATTAAGGTTCTTTTTGTTCACTTTGTGTCACAATTGTAAAGACGTTGCTTATGAAGTGGCTCCTTGGGGACTGTGTAGTCTTCGGGCAAGGGATTTTCTTTCTTGTAGGACAGTCATCTTTAAGTCTTTAAGCTACTTATGTTACCAGAACCACAAAAGAGCTAAAATTGGAGACAATTTAAGGTGATAAACACTTCTCTGAATCTAGGTGATAATTTAAAAGACATCTCTCTTTTGACAATGTGAAATTCTTTCACTTTCTTCATTCATTCCTACTTATGGAAAATGGGAATGACACCCATATTTAGCCGGTTTTTGTACAGCTAAATAGTTACACCCCAAAATAGATAAGATACTTTTCTGTGGGAAAAGGTCCATGGTTATCTACTTAATTGCAATTCAAAAGCACAATTACAGATGGAAATACATGTTGAATATAACATGTTCAAAACATTAGCCATATCTGTATATGTGGAGAACACAGTGTTGAAAATCCAGGTACTACGTTTGGAAGAAAATCTGACTTAAAAGCCATCTTTCTAGTACTACAATTACAGTTGACATTTTTAAAATAATAGTAACCATGTAGTACAGCATGCGTATCATTTCAGTTACCTCTGAGTTTTGACATGCATGGAAAACACAGTGTTTTTAAAACTGTAACCCAGTCGCTGAAATATCTTTTTTCCTCAAAGTAACAGTTACCATATTCATCCTCCCTCTTTCCTACCCAAGCATAATGTAGAATTCAAGTATAACCCTTGAGAGTATTTGACTGTATTCATATGATAGCAAGACTACCCAGTGAATTAGAAATTCAGTTCCATGTCTGTAAATGAGAACATTTTTAAAACTTAGTTATATAAATAAAACTCAGTTCAAATCCCATCTCTGCTGTCAAAATATCTCCTAACTCCTCTAAAATCCACATCGAACCTTCTCTTCTCCCTTCCCCTTGTTTTCATTGACCCATGTAACATTCTAGTGCATGCTGGCCTGCCGAAGTATGTCCCTTTCCTGGAGAATGGCACCTGGGCAGAGCTGTTGTGTCCATCTGTCTCCACTTAGCATTGTTTTCATTGAATGTATGGTTTCATTTAATCATTGTTATTCTCTGTTTCACAGAGCGGGAAAATAAAGAAAGTGTATGCCTTTTTAGTGTCTTCAAATCTGAGCAATCACAAATATTAAGAGTTAATTATTCTTAGTATTATCTTGTTCACTGTTTCACATGTGTGGGTCACGTTTTCCCCGATTATAATTCATTCTTCTTATCTAATGTGCTTAGTAGTACCTGATATATGTGTGATACTTAGTAAATGTTAACTAATAAGCATTATTAGTTACCCTATAGGGTCTGTCATCTATTGGAGTATAGAACTTACACATTGTAAGTTCTCAGTAAAACACGCAGTAGAAAAGGGGCTTGCTCGCTTGCAATCAGCCTCTCCACTGATTCTTTGGTACATTGTATTTTCCATAGAAGGAACCTTGCACACATTTTTGATAGATCTGTAATTCTATAAAATGCTTAGTAACCCCAGCTCACTTCAGAGAACAATATAGCACCATTTCAGTCCAGTAAATCTTTCTGATTTGAAGTAAGCTTAAAAAAGACATTAACACTCCCCAGGAAAGAAACCTTTTTGTAAGGTTAAGGGGGGTTTTCCCCAAAATCATTTAAGCTCGCACAGCTCTATGTCTCAGCTTACCTACCCTCTAAGCCATTGTTTATTTTGCATTTCTGAAGTCAGAGAGAAATTAATTATTAGTAAACATTTTCAGAAATGATAAATGTAATTCCTCCAATTTTTAAATACCTATCCAGGTGCTTAAAGAACAGTTTCATTCATTTATGAAATATGTAAATGCCTACTGTGTGCCAGGTACATTATGCCAAGCACTTTCATTTTAGTGGAGGTGAGTTGGGGGAGTAGGTGAGGTAAAGACAGTGAACTAACAAGATAATTTCATAAGTAAGAACTATAAAGAAAAAAGATAATGGGGCAAAGATGATAATAAAATGGGAGATCACCAGGGGAAAGCCCCTTGGAAGAGTTAATACATGAGCTGAGACTTGTTATATGAAAGAATCAGCCTTCCTAATGTCTAGGGAAATGCAAAGACCCAGAGGCAGGAAGAATCTTTGTAGGGTTCAAGGAGCAGAAGTAAGGCCATTTTGTGGCTGGAATAACACTAAACAGGGGAGAACTTGGTACAGAAGAACTGAGAGTTTTCCCAAGGCCAGACCAAGAAGGGTCCTGTAGGTCATGGTAGAGTCTAGATTTTTCTCTTGATTGCAGTAGGATGATAACCAATGATGGCAAACATTTTAGAGCTTTCAGTGATAACAAACAGCCCACTATGGCACACGTGCCATAGGTTCACCACCACTATACTAGGTAATTGCAAACAGGAGAATATCCGACCTGTGCTCTCATGATTGCTGGGGCTGACATGTAGAGTATGAACTATAGGGCGACACAAGATAAAAGAGGGGGACCAATTAGAAGTCTGTTGTGAGAAATCATACGGGTTTGGAGGCAGATAGATATAGTAAATGGGCAGATTGGGGCTTGGTGTCAGAGATGGGTCGGCTATAACAGTACTTGCTCATGACTGGGACGTGAGGTAATTTGATTAACCACATAAGAGAATACTGCCTTATCAAGGAAAAGAAAGTTGCTTGCAGTCACCTACATGGTGAGTGGCCTCACTGAGATTCAAACCAGGTCTTGCTTCTTCCAAAGCCCATGCCCTTAAAGTAGACTTTTGTAATGCTGATGAGTTTTCCTATAAAGGTGAGCGCATTGGCCATTCCCAAGTAAGAATATAGGTGGATACTGTCCCATATGGAGCCATAATTCTGAGATACAGACATACATGCATACATAGACAGGCCAACACACATTCACACACGTTTAAATGCTAAACCTAACTTAGACATTTTTTACTGAAGGTTTTAAAACCTTATATTTCAAAAAAAATATGATAGACCACGGGAAATATTTGAACGTTTACAATATTTATTACATGAAATTTTGAGTTATTCTTGGTATTTTTATAACTTCACACTTAGTTTCTTGATTACTTAGATTTTTCTTTGCTTTCTGATCATTGTAACGTGAGGGTTTAATATTGAAGCACTTGACACTTAAGATATATAAATATATATATTTGTAAATGTTTACAAAAACTTTAGGAATAATAAATCAGGGCAGATTGAAAACTATTTTTAATCTGTACCTTTAGAGGTCATTATTAAAAATTAGCTCACGAGGGCCTGCGATTTAGCTCAGTGGTGCTAGCTATCACCTGCCTCGCAAGCATAAGGTCCCGAATTCAATCCCCAGTACCAAAAAAAAGAATAGCCCACTAATTCCTTTTTCAGTTATCCCATTTGAAGGAATGATTTTTTAAAAACACAGTTCTTTGTTTATTGCAGCTATGAAATATGAAACATTTAAAGCTGCAGAAATTCCTTATATATTACCTAAACAAAGTCAGTGCCCTAATTTTTTAAGAAATAACCTCTAAAATGCAAGATATTTTTTGTAAATATGCCTCCTTGTTTCCAGAAACAAGATGGTCGAAACACTTTGGGATGTCATGAGTTTCATTATGAAGTAGAAGATGTTATGGTTTGTAATTAAAACATCAGAAGAACCACTTCTCAAACCTAAAATTTATCTCCTTGTCCATGTTAAGGTAGCCAGACTTCTGGTCACTCTACTCTAAAGTTGTTAGTTGTCTTGCACATGGCCTTACTATGGTACAAAAATTGTTTTCTTAGATAATTAATAATGTGAAATAGGAAATCAAGGACTAAAGGTGTAGGGAAAGTGGGAAGGGTGGGGGAAAGGTAATAAGGGAGAGGAAAAAAATATGAGAAATTGAAAAAATGGAAATAAAGTGTTTGTAAATGGGGAGGGGAGGAGGGGGTGAAGGGAGGGCAGGGACAAGGGGAAAAATGAGAATTAAGACCTATTATGTAAATGTACAGGATCCCAATAATGACTGTAACTGTATTGTATACCTAGATTGTACCAAAAAACTCAATATAAAGAAAAAAAAATTTTCTTTCCTTTTACATTATTTTTCTGTTAGCCGGGCATGGTAGTGCATACCTGTAATCCCAGCACTGGGGAGGCTGAGGCAGGAGGATTGCTGTGAGTTCGAGACCAGCCTGGGCTACATAGTGAGTTCCATATCAGTCTCAACTACCTAGTAAGACCCTGTCTCAAAAAAAAAAAAAGAACCACATTATTTTTCTGTTGTAATTAAACTAACAGCTATTACATTTGAAGAAAAATATTCATATTTTGATTTTCCTATTTTTTTATTTTACATTTTCTTTTTGAATTTTTTCTAAAACAATCTGTAAATCGCCCCCTTTTTTGCTGTTTGCATATGAATTAGAACTTGAGATTCAGTTTTATTTTGTGGCAGCAATCTTTTACTATGGCAAATTTTACTCAATATCAACTATGACCTTACTTGGTGACATAATTTAAATGTTTTACTTTTAAAATTCAATGGGGATATTATTTTATGATTGTGAGCTTATTCTTCCATATACATAATACATTAAAAGTAAGTATTGGCTTGTATAATTTTTTCATTAAGTTTATTCTTACATTTTAGGTATACAGTATGTTGACATTCGTTATTGGGAATTTGGAACTTTACATGATATATCTTGGTTCTTTTTTTGTTATAGGGAGTCGAACTTGGGACTTTGCACTTGCTAGGCAGGCAGCAGAACCAACTGAGCTAAATTCCCAGCCCTTCGTTCTTAGTTTTTTTCCCCATTCCCCTGCCCTCCCTTCAACCCCTCCACCCCTCCCTATTTACAAAGGCTTTGTTTCCATTTTTTCATTTTCTCATATTTATTCCTTTCCCTTCTTTTCTTTCCCCAACTCCTCCCACTTCCCCTTCCCCTTCTCCTTCAGACCTTTTTCCTCTATTTCACATTATCTATTATACATTTTGATCCTCATTTACACTTTCAGGTTTTCACACCAGAGAAATATTCGGTATTTACACATGTGTGTCCTATTTATTTGACTTAAGAGTATGGGCTCAACGTGCATCCATTTAGCTATAAATGTCTGGTTTCTCGTTCTTTATGGCTGAGTAGTACTCCATTTAATTTTTAAAAACCATTTTCTTTATCCAGTCACGAGTTGAAGGGCATTCGGGCTGTTTCCAAGATTTAGCTATTACACACTGTGCTGCTATAAACATGGGTGAGAACATATCACTGTGGTATGATTCTTCTCATTCTTTTGGGAAGAAACCCAGCAGGGGAATAGCTGGGTCAAATGGGACCCCTAATCCTAGTTTTCTGAGGTGTCTCCATACTGATTTCCACAGTGGTTGCACCAGTCTGCACTCCCAACAACAGTGGAGAAGGGTTCCTTTCTCCCCACAACCCCACCAGCATTTGTTATTGGTTGATTTCTTGATAGCAGCCATTCTTTCTGGAGTAAGATGAATTCTCAAATGTTGTTTTCATTTGCATCTCTCAAATGATTGGTGATGTTGAAAATTTATTTGCTGCTTTTACTTTGTTGTCTGAGAAATGTGTGTTCATTTCAGATGCCCATTTTTGAATTTGGTCTGATTTTTTTTTTAGTTCTTAATATATTCTAGATAGTAGTCCTTTGATAAAAAATTTTTCCCACATTGTAGGTTGTCTCTTATCTCTGTTGGTCATATCTCTTGCAGGGCAGAAGCTTTCTAAGAAGATGAGATCCCAGTTGTTGATACTTTGTGCTAGTTCCCATGCTACTGAAGTTTTGTTCATAAAGTCTTTTCTATGTCAATGTCTTCATGGCTTGTATAATTTTTAAGATGAATATAAATCATCTGCAAAAAAAAGTAACATAAATGTTTTCTCTAACCAACATGACTTCCAATACTGACATTACCCTGATGAAAGCTTTGCTGCCTGCTTACCTGTCTGTACATGTACTAGCCAGACAAAGCATTCTTTCAACTCATGAGTTAGGAAAGACATATCTATACTTAATATGATGAATCTGGCTTTAGCAGATTGAGTTTTCTAGTTGGCTTATTACTGATTTTTGCCCTCTGCCCTGAATCTTAATTTCTCTCTCTCTCTCTCTCCCTCTCCCTCTCTCCCTCCC